CTCGAAGAAACGAAGGGAAAATCTTAACGAACGAAATTATCGCGCGGCGCCGTTCGCTCTGTGCTCTGATAATTAAGATACTCGGTAGCCGGTAATTTCGCTCGACACAACCCTGGATTCGCCGCCGGTCTTTCTCTCCCGTCTCTCTGTTCTTCTCTTTGCGCGCCTGTTTTCGCCTTCCTCTTTTTCTCTTCCTTCTCCTTCCTACCTCTCGCAGCCGGCTGTTACTCCGTTCGGTATTCAACAGCGTTGTTGTTGCCTAACAAAGTTGGAGCACGGTCTAATAAATAGACGCATCTCGATAAACCTTACGTTACGGAGCCGATATTGCCGGTGCCTGAGTTACAAGATTGCAGAAGCGCCCGATTAGATGACCTATAGCTCTCGAACTGCGATCGCTATCACGAAATCGAGAACTACCCGAAACCCTACCAACGTCAGAGAGATCCGATTAATTCTCTACCTGCTACGTGCTTCCCTTTCGTGCAGTATTACACAATCGCGAAGTATTACGTCAAATCTCAGGCAATTCGTCATATCTCGATATTCCAAAGATATCGTAGAACAATCGTAGAACAATCGTAGAATGAATAGGTTCTACAAGTCTCGATAATTAGAACGCTTATTCTAATAAGGACGCAATCATAATAAAAGATCTCTTTTTCCATAAAATATCGCGCTGCATTTATATAAAAGAATGTAATAATAATTTATACGTTCCCCAGGTCAAAAATTAAATTAATCATTTTTTAAATAAAATTGTAAATACATTTAAAATAATTATTTTCTTGTTAAATGATTCGTAATAGATGTGTCTATCAAATAGATAGAAAAAAAGATATATTACCACGTAAATATTTCAGTATCGTTCTATTATTTGCCATTGGCGTGACGTCAAAGTCTCTAGGCGGAAGTCAAATAATCTTTACACGCAATCGACCGACCGACCGAGAGGTGAAAAGATCGAATCCTTTTATGGTCGTCGTGTGTTCGTGCACGACGATCGAACGTTTTGTGTTTCTGCTATTCATCGTAAGCAAAACGGAGCAGCCTACCTAGACCTAGGCTTTACGATGCGATGCCATGATCGGCGAATTCGATTTAATCCGGGCTACACGACGATCGTGACGAAAGGCGGGTCATATAACGGCCCGCGATTGGAAACTTTATCGACCTGATCGGATATCTCCGCGTGCATGGAATAATCCGTGAAATATATGCTGTTGCGCGTATAATTCTGTTTTTTTTACCATCAAAAAATCCTCGACATGTCCGGGATCGCGCGGGTTTCGCATTACGTGACCGAGCGACGCGATGAAAAAAATTGACGTACCGTGTATATATCAAAGTAATGAATTATTCCGTAAAATTTGCGAGCTCTCGCGTTCCCAGATCTTTTTGCAATTTTTAAAGCTTTCGTTATTATTTTACTTTTTGCAGAAAAAAATGTATAACTATTTTATACTTTTTAAAGTAAAATTATTGTTTTACACGGTTTCACGTTGATGCGTAAAATTAAACAATATCCATTTTTAACAACCAGAAACTCGGTTATACTCTATGTATATATACTTAAACACACGTTGACTCATAATTTCCAAGAAACAAACATTTACAATCAAGAGACAAAATTATATGGAAAATATTCCAAAAGGGGATACAAGGAAGTCGTCTCTTTGCCAACAATTCGAGTCGCGAAAACAAAGTTACAAGCAAGTTTTGCCACCAAGTCGCCTCCAGCACTTCAGGTAAACTCTTTCGCAAAGTTGTAGAAGCTTTTGTGTTCTATGATTAATACGGGACATCCCGCACGTCGTGCTCGACTCGCGTAGTACGAATGGCTCGTATGCCAATCGATAAATCATCGTAATTATACCTCCGACGTTGGCCTATAACGTTATCTCGCGGGAGCCAGAGTTGCAATCGACCGTGGAATCTAAGACAGATTTCTTTGTCGCATTAACGGCGGCCCATCTCCTCCTTCACGTCGTAATAAACAAGAAAGACCGAAAGACTCACTCTATCTCTCTCTCTTTCTTCTATCTTTATATCTGCAGTTTATCTTTATAACTCTCTCTCTAAACGTGCCCTATCGCGCGAAACGATACACTACGTCAGTCGAGTAAGCATCCCCCCCGGTGATTCAGGTGCACTTTTTGAACGTGAACGTCTTATCGGGTAGGTAACACCTGAAATTGGGTCGCGTATATCAATCCGCGTATCAAGGACAGGCGTCGTAAAAAATTCCTCGAGTTATTTACAATCGCTTATGGTCGACGCACCTTCTTGCGAGAAGCATTAAAGAGACCTTGTTATCTTGCGAACGAAAAGCGAAGATAATAAAAGCAGATCCTAAACAGCATTAATGCTTATTAATACAAAGCGATGTCTCTCTTATTAAGAATTTTATGTCAGCGAGTAACGGTGAGCGAGCAATCAATACGATACACGGGAATACGAAATGTATGCAGGTGCTGGTTCTTTTTTTTTTCTTTTTTCAACCAGGCAGAAGAGATATTTTCGTCCAGGCGATTAATCCGCATTAGTGTCAGCGGAGAGTTTTTTTCTGACCCACGGCGAGTCGTTTATCCATTTCGTGTCAGTAGCTACACTGTTTTACGCGATAGACACATTTATCAGATAGTGACAGCATGTATAATTTCGAACAATAGATACACGCGGTGTGTCGAAAAGAAATTAATATCCACGCATTAATTCAGCGGAACGAATAGGTGTGCCTTACGCTAGACTGACACGTTCACGAACCTTTGAACCGATCTGTACAAACACCTGTACGTGCGAAGCAGATGTAGGTATCGGCTGGAATCATTAATCAACGTGGTCCGCTCTTTAAACCGTGTGATGCAAATGGAACCGCGTCCGTTCACGTTTTACGCAACAAAATTCTCCCAATGAAAAAGAAGTCAATTTCACGATCTCGCGAAATTTTGTGCTCTCAAAGCTTCGTTTGTATTTCGCAAATCACCGAATCATTCGATCGATTTAGCACGATGAATCACTTAATTACGATCTGTTTATTATTTAGAGTAGACCGTATCAATTTGTTTGATTAACGCACTAAAGAAGAGTTATATTTTATGGAACGTATTTCCGGCAGAATCATCTATTAACTCCGTCGACAGATTCCGTCCATGATAACCGAAAATGTTAAGCGTCGCGGAGACTTCTGCGGGAGAGAACCGCACGACAATTACTACCGCGACTAGGGAGGAAGTCCCGAAGTCTAGCGACAAGTCGAAGAGCAAGCGGCAGCGCGACACGTCCAACTGTTTCGAAATTCATCGAGTTCCGACTCCGAGAGTTTCCACGCAAGGGAGGGTCGAAGAGACGGAGCCATTAGACGGTATACGGGATAGGATGTTGTAGACCCGAATGTGTACGTTTTCGAAAGCTCGTCCACACCAAGATCGTAGTGGATTGCCGTTGTTGTTCTAACAAGATACCGATGTACGTGCGTCCGTTCAGCATCCTGAGATTAAGGGCGACCGCACGTTGCCAATACGCTCGTATTGACATTCCGAGAGAAAATCGACTAGTCGCGATCGATTACGATGCAAACCGCCCTTACATCGTATTTTGGTGGAAGAGGGTTATCGATAAGTCTCGTAGTAATCGCCCGAAAATAATTTATCACTTCAGAAAGCAAAAAAAAATATAACCGCCTGTATTAAATTTATACAACAAAACTAAGCAAACACTAGACTATATAAAAAAATTTATTACTTCTATATGTATATAAAATGTATAGGAATATGTGTGTATATATATATATATATATATTACTATATAACTTTTTAAACACGCTCTTGTATCACTGTTATAAATAAATATACTTTTTGTAATACAAAGCAATATTATTTTCATATATAGCGAGATTAGATTATCTAAATAAATTTATAGAATGTGCTTCGTATTCTAAAATAAAATTGTATGCCACATGAATAATATACTATAAATTTAATATTGTAACTAAATAAAAATATAATTAAATTTTACTAAGCATATTACATTTATTTTTACTTATTTAGCACTCTAAAGATGACTCTGAAAACGGGTCACGTCGCGTGTTACGTCGCGATCGAAACTATAACGGAAGATAATAAAATTCAGAGATGGAGCAAGTCGCCGATGTCTGAATAAAGCTTTCGTGCGCGGAAATTTATATCCATGGGAAAATTATTGAAACGCGCCGCCGGCCGTCACGCATATCGTTGCCGCGGCCTTTATAAAATGCCGTCGCGCGCAATATATACATATCTCTTTCAGGAGGCATGCAAGAAAGTTACTGCAGCATTCTCTCCCTTCCTTTGCGCGTAACACGCGCAATCTTCCACGGTATACGCGTGAAAGGCTTCCGTATGCGAAACTCTGCTCTCGTTTCTCTCTTTCAGAAAATTTCCTTATTTCGAGCGATAAATTCCAATTTATCTCGCCAGTCAGATGCTAAAGATCGTAATATGTCGTCCGTTATGCAAAAGACTCACCTGCAGTCGTTATATGTGTGTGCGTATGTGTATTTATGTATGACTATATTTATCCGAAGCAATATATTTAATACTGTTCTATATTAACAACATGTAATGGGGCAATGTAACGCTCGTGTAAAGCTATTTTTTAATTAAATACTGTATTTTTCTCGAAGGATATCGATTCTCTTTAACAAAGTTTACATTTATTATTACACATCTAACGTTTTGATCGTACATATTGAATGTGGAATAAATTTATTATAACGTAACTTATAATAACTATTCAAAGATATAACAGTCTAGTAGACAGATTCAATCAGAGTTGATATCTAATTGGTGTTTTGAAAGCATTGTTGCTAGTATTGTAAAAAATGTTCCGCTCCATTAATCAACAAACGAGGAACATGTATATATCGATTATTTGATATTTACGAATTACGGAATATATATAGTTTTCTTTAATTCTATTACACTTCGAAACTATGAAATGAAAATTAATTCAAAACTCACCGGTATGATGCGCGACAGCGGAGTCGTAGTATACAATGTTGTGATCTGTAAAATACAAATATTTTCAAATTATGTATATAGTGTCCAAAATGACTAATATTTTAAAAACTTATTGCACTGAATTGAATTTTTTATTCGCGTTTTTCAAACAGATAAAAGATTAAAAATCTATCTTATATGCATATAGTAATGAAAAAAATAAATTCTTTCCGCAAAGATCAAACTATTTAATTTCACAATTAATTTAATAAATAAATTTAAAAAGATAAATTTTATTCAACCCACGATTTTTCCATTCTGATACCACTCTGGTCCTTCTTTTTCTCTTTTATTCATCCTTTTACTATTTATTAATGACATCAACACTCATTCGCGAAAACGATTATTGCAATCGCATGCATAGATCAATAAAATACGATGATCGCGCGATTCTTTATAAGATACTCCAACATTAATCATTGACACAACATGTATTTTCTTATCGCGATTGAAGAACAATGTGAAAATAATGATTTATGGCCATCGAAAATTAATCAAAATTACGTATAATTAACTTATCGTAACAATATTGCTTCAAAAAATATATATATATATTTGCATTTTTTTTAAATTTATCATTTCGCGTTATGACATATAGAGATAGAGATATGCGAATTTTAATAAAAAATAAATACCGACTGAACGCATAATATATTTCTATTAAATCTCGCGATTAAACACGCATTTTACACGAGAGCCAACGATGTACTAATGCTGAAAATTTATATGTACGATTGATAGATAAAAATATGGAATCAACTACAACTTTTTTGTTTTTTAACAAACTTCACGATTTCATTCGATTCGAATTAAAGTCAAATTATATTCGTGACGTTTTGTAGTAAAAATAAAAATAATTTTCGTGTTTTCGCTTTAATACTAACATAAGTGACACTACCCAAGTCGAGTTAATATCTAATTAAAATTCCATACAGTCAAATATAATCAAGAGATTCCGTTACGAGCATATATGTACCTATATTTGAAATAACGAAATACATGTATCAATTAAGACCTATAATCATTAATTGTTAAAATAGTAGAGAATGCTCATGTCTAAGTAATACAACGATATGCACGAAGTGTAACACGTCATTACCGTCTTGCTCGAGCCTCACCGCGTAAATGATAGCAAGGTTAAACAGCGCACTATACACCGCGAGCATCGAAACAATGTGTCGTCATTCTCTCTCTTCTCATTACGAAATAAAAATGTATACGAAATATTCTACGCACTGCTATCAAGACGCGCAGCACATCTAATCGTGGAAGAGAGACGAACGAAGACTGCTTGTATTTGTATCCTTTCCATGCGCGACTGCTGCGTGTCTCGAATTAGGTTTCGATTATTAATAAATGATTGATGTGTCTAATTCTCTCTCGCGACATACTTTAACTATTTTTAATCCTGCGAATAGTATACTATGATTTTCAATTTAATAATTAATAACCGCTTAATAAATTACAATTAAATCGATTCGAAATAAAATATATTTGCTTTAAAGCATACGAAAGAAATAATTAGCGCCCGTGAATGTAGCAATAAAATAATAATAAAATGTTTAATATTTCGTGTCGTTTTATAATTTCTATAAAAACGAATATCGCAAAAAAAGTATTTGCTTTGACAGTCGCTTCGATACGCTCGACTTCGTTAAACGCAGGAATTAATTATCACACAGACTGATAATTTCTGATTCGTAAAGAATAATTATGCTGATTATTTATTAAAGCAGATATTTTCCTCGTGACATATTCATTTCAGATAGAAATCAAAACGTGACAGGAATGGGAATTATAAATTATTGTTTCATTGCGATTTATTTAAAACGATAATTATTCCTAAATATGTTAAAAATACATTAAATATATTTCGCTTTGCGTTTTAAATTTTTCACCGATTTCATTCACCGATTCATGCGATTTATTAATTATTTTCAAATTGCAAATACAAAGTAATGCACAACTCGAGAGATGCTAATAGAAAAAAAAAACATTAATCGTTAACGCAATTCATTCAAGATTGAAAAAACAGAATATTCATTTATTTCGTAGCGTGTTAAATATTTCGTAGTGAAAAGAAGAGAAACATTTCTCTATAAATATTATAATAAGCAATTATCAGATTGTGCAATTAATGACAAATAACACATAGGAATACGGCGGCTATTCGAAGTAATGAAAAGTCATAATAATATCGACTGTTTTTATTAACAATACATGTATTTCGCGAGATTTGTATGTGTTGGAAATGTGATCGTAATATTTGAATCTCAATTAAGTATTTTCTGAACAAACTAGTCATCAACTCGGCTCGTATCGCGCAATATCACAGTGAAACCGATATCATTTTCGTGTTTCTCGGTCACTAATAGAACGTCGCGAATAATAGTATGTATATATATATAAAATCCATTCCGAATCAAATAATAATGTGACGCGCACGTATTTAATAAGAAATTAATCCCATGTATATTCTAATATTTACTACGCTTGATATAAAACTCGTATGTTTGTAACACATTGTTATAATTTGTAGAATTTCGTATTTTGCAATAATTTATTGCATCTAAATCCATTACGCAAACAGTCGGTAAATTTATACTTTTAAGTATTGAAAATAACGGATTTTTAATATTATATATATATATATACTTTAATATATATATATATATATACGCAAAAAATTGCTCAAAAATACGAGGATATAAATTTTGCTCATTGTCGTGAAAAATAATATGTGAATTTAATTACATGATTTTCGAGCATGGATCGTTTTCGCATTATTCTCTTGTCGTAATATATTAAAGTGCATATTGCGTGTGTGATAACGTCGGGAGTGTCATGTAAAGTGTCGAGCGACGATCGCATTCTGCTAATTAATGTGCGCACGAGTATAATTAATCGCATTTTCGCGAGTGAATGTGAGTGCCATCAATAAATAACAAAGGATCAACAAGAGAAGGAGGTCCAGGGTGGCATCAGACGTTGGCGAAGCAACATAAAGTAGGAAATTTTTAACTTATCTAATTTATTATTTGCTAGTTATAAAATTAATTGCTTATCTTTGTAGTAATTTATTTTTTTCTCATCACTATATAATATACAATATAATATAATGCATTCTAGAATAAATTTTCTCCGAAAATATTGAAAATATTTATATATATGTTAATATTTAAAATGTAAATGTAAGAATTATGTTTTTTATTCATATTTTATAATAATTTATATATACAGAAATCTTATTGGTAAACGATATAATTTTCTATTGAATATTTGTTGGAAGAACAAATAAAAAGTTTTATCACGCGTAATAATAATTTTTTGAAATATTGAGTTTCAGACACTATTTATACATAATCTCGAAATATTTATACATTTTACAAAACTCTCACAACGTTATGTACATACAACACTCCATTGCTGCGTATCGTATCGGTGAAGTACAAATTTATTTTTAACAAAATAATCGCGGGTCTCACAAGTTACAATAATGCATATAATTTTTGTGAAATTTTACTGACTGATGAAAAATAATTTCAAGTGTAAGAGATTTTAATTAAGAATAAAAATGATCCTATTTATTATACAATTCTTTGAAAGTTGAGAAAGAAAGATTTATGGATTTCTCTGACAATCTTGTTTCGTAACTTACTCTTTTACTTTCGCTGTTAGATATTTCTCACCGAAAGAGGGCAATAAACTTCTCGAACGTCAAAAATATACATCGTAGAGTCTATTTTCGCCTCTGATCGTGTTTATAATCCGTAACATGTGGATCGCGGTGTCCGATTCCGCGTATCTGCGTACACGTAATCCGGTCATTTCATACAGGATTGCGATATACACGGCTCTAACAATTTTACCGAAAAAGCGATGGTTTCTACGCGCGCGCATGGCGCGAGTGACACACTTGGGATGAAATAGGCCAACTACGGTGGAGGCCACCGGTTCGCTGACATCACTACCTGTATTACATTAGCCTACGCAAACGCTCTTGCACGCGTGCACACGAATGCATAATATCGCCCGAGCACGTGAACAGGCGGCGCGACTGCATGTCTTTTTGCATCGCGACATCAGAGAATCGAAGGTGGAAGAAAAAAGCGCGAACATACGCGAAGATACAATCTCTCGTTCCTCTTTCTTTCGCGCACAATAATGCTCTCTTTGATCCCTGCCTCCAGCAAAAAGATAGCGCACGCGCGAATCATTAAACTCCACCGACGAGGATAGAGAGACCGAGATGTAAGAGGGAATCGACAATGAGATGTTCCCGACACGTGTGTATATCCGCGACATTTGAATCCGTGCATTTCCCCGACAGGTAAAACGCGTCTGTTGTCGGGTCAATTTGCACAGCCGACACTCCTCGCTCGACTGCATAAAAATTAACTCGTAAAATTGACAAATTGACAAATTGTTTCTGACTGTACATATGAGGACACATTGACGCGACGTGCGAATATACGGATCAAGATTGCTCAGAGAGAATTATTGATAAATAGCAATTTTTACCATTTTCTCTTTGCACTATTACTGCGATAAATATCGGGAAATATACTTTTGCGAGCACACAATAAGAATATCTTACGAAAGGCACTGAGAACTCGCTAACGATGCCACGCCTTGAGCCGTAACACTGATCTCGAAAGGTGAAGGGCAACGCGATTCTCTGAAGCCAAATATTATTTGATCGCCACGCAATAATTTACAAACAAATTGACCGCGCGAGACTGGAGCTTATAATAAAAAGGAAGAGAAAGAGAGATGGAGAGAGATCAAGATTGCGCGCTATCAATTCTCGGAGCATGGAGATAGCCGATACTCTCGCTCGTTCTCTCTAGGATGGTGTCTAAGCACGTCCGCTAAACAGCTAGATACGTTTGCCAGATAAGAGATACTTATGGCACTTGAGGGTATGAACTCGTGACCGTCGGGACTGTACAAGGGAGGAGAATATAGTCTCGCCCTCTTATTGCCTCCGGAGTGGATATAACCTA